TCAGTGGGAAGAACTGAAATCCTTGTGGCAGTTCCAAGGCAACATCATGTCAAAGTCACAGCAACACATTTTACAAGCCCTGATCATTTCATGCCCAAAACACATGCCACTGATTTTCTTGAGATGTGGTTCAGTGGTTAAAGATGTCGGCCGGTAATTTCGAGTTTTACATATCACTTACTTAATTAGCTAGACTCTCTGAGACTATAACAAAATGTAAAGTACACTTCCTTTAAAGTTTCAGATAAAGAGTATGGCCTATTTCAGACACAATGTGTTCTGATAGCTTCATTTGTCTGTTAAAGTATGACTTGAGTGTGTGTGTAAGTTAAATGGGTGTCACAGCAACACATTTTACAAGCCCTGATCATTTCATGCCCAAAACACATGCCACTGATTTTCTTGAGATGTGGTTCAGTGGTTAAAGATGTCGGCCGGTAATTTAGAGTTTTACATATCACTTACTTAATTAGCTAGACTCTCTGAGACTATAACAAAATGTAAAGTACACTTCCCTTAAAGTTTCAGATAAAGAGTATGGCCTATTTCAGACACAATGTGTTCTGATAGCTTCATTTGTCTGTTAAAGTATGACTTGAGTGTGTGTGTAAGTTAAATGGGTCAAACCATAGCAAAAGCAGTGAGCAGAGAATGAGTGAAATAAGTGATTCTCCACTACTGTGTCTCAGAGGGAGTGTGTGTGTGTGACGTGTGAGTATACATTACACATTGCCAAGCTCTAATGGCTCAGGCAGTTGTATTGCTGGACTGGATGGCATGTGGAAGTCTGGTGAAACATGAGACAGCGGTCTTTCAGTAGAATGTCTAAGTAAAGAGCTTGTCAGCGTTTAGCATCTCTTCAACATTAAAGTGATGTAACACTGGCTTCTGGTTGGCCAACATCAAGCTGAATTTCTCAGACATATTCTTTGGGCCACACACAAGAAAATCATATTTTGGTCCTGCAGTGACAGTGATCATGGACCCACCCTGGAAATGGCCTCAGGTAGATGATGTGTAAGATCCCACACTGCAGGGTGATATTTGTTTGGAAAATGTTCATTTAGTCAAGAGCAGCTGTTATACAAGAAGCAGAAATGATTTGACAAAGCTCTCAGATTAACAAATCGCTCTGGTTTTCTCAAAAGCAAGAATGCTACAGTAAAAACTCACCATGTTAACAAGAATATTTTCACAATTTGATCACAACCTGATCTACCCAACTCAGACTCATTGGAAAAACATGAATGTGGCGAAATGTCATCAAAATGTCACTATATTGCTTCTTGTAAGTTTTGCGACATTTTAAAAGTGAAACGTCCAGTAAGTGGTGCTAAAAGTGCATTTGAAACAGATAAATGTTCATCTGGCACCCCTTTAAGTTAGTTGTAGTACATATTGCAGCAGTTTGGAAAATAAATGTACGGTGAGTGGCGCTAAAATGTTAATGGTCTATCACTTTTGAAAATAACGTACTACCTACACTAAAACAGACAGTGTTAACAAAAGCATACATAATATAAAAACACTGTGCTGTTAATATAAACACACAATGCTGAGGCAACGTGTCATTTTAGCTTGTTTCTACAAGTCTTTGAGTTGTTTTATCGTGACTTGTGTTTCATAGGACACATACTGTATATGAGCGCTATGCATCACAAGTGCACTGCGAGGTGTACCAGGTGAGCTACTGAGTAAGATTACTATGCCAGAAAAGCTGCACATATGAGGGTGGCTATGTAAGGCAAACACCAAAATTTATAGCTTGCAAATTATGCACTATGATAAAAGTGTTTCGAGTGTATAATATAGTATTTCTCAAACAACCGTGCAAAAATAAGTCTTCATTAATCATAATCTACCCATGTAATCATAATTTGTTTAAACTGGAATAAAAGTTATTGGTGTTTTACTGCTAAGATTTATTTCAGATGGAAACTGCAGTGAATTGTATGCATACACTAGGTACGTTTTTGGAGTTTTGCAAAAGAGATGCAAAAATGTGTCCAATGAGCCTATGTTGGATTAATCACACTGCTGTGTTAACCATTCACTAAAACACAAAGACAAATCTGATTATTTACCAAATTTGGAGAGATTTGTAATGTAATCACCTATCCATCACAACGCATCCTGGACAATGTCAAAGGACTGTTCATTCACCTCTCAATCACACACTCCACAAAAACCATATTATAAACTTGGATAAGGCCAACATATTCATGCAAAATGCAAAGAATGTCTCTGGTTTGTAGGATATCAACATTCAGTGATACAGAGCTCATTAAATATTCATTCACTTTATACAGAAACAATCCTTTGCTGTGTTCTTCACTCCAGGTAACACGGAAAACCTGTTATCTGGAGTGAAGAACAACTATGTAACTCGGTTATGTTCTGAAAAGTATATTCAAGACAAACTTGACAGTAGAGTCAGGAATATATAATATATAAAAATAAAAAAAAATTGTATGCATGAAAAGCCCCAATGTTAAAAACGACTAGAAACGTCATGTTTGTGGGTAGATTACAGCTTAGGTATGTTTGGGACAAAAGTATGCCAAAAAAGGAAAGGCAGCCATACCCATGGAGTCCAACACAAACTGGTCCTGTGTGACTGCTAGAGGAGGCTGAACACACACCGTCACCTTTGGGCTCTGCACCGCAGAACGACTCTTTATTTTAACCTGAGAATAAAGCACACATTCAGGACACACTGTATCACCTCAGCATTAAAAAGCACTACAGGCTTCTATTACACAAAAAAACCTAATATACTTAATAAACATCAGCGTTAAATGAGCTGCACTCACCTTGACTGTGACAGAGGGGACAGGCATGCCATTCATCTCAGGTATGACAGCGCACTGTGAGAGAGATCATCACAACACAATCACACACCGTGTGCTCATGAGACGGGCAAAGTGTGAGTGTGCGCTATATTTTGAGACAAAACAGTATCCACAAGTACACAAAAAGGTAATAATAACTGATAAAGCATTTTTTAGAGTTAGGGTTTGAGTTAGTCTGTAGTCATTATGCACAAAGTTTCCTGTAAGGGGTAGGTTTAGGTGTAGGGTTGGTGTAGGGTGATAGAAAATACGGTTTGTACAGTATAAAAACCATTACGCCTAATAATGTCCCCACAATTTACAAAAACAAACCTGTGTGTGTGTGTGTGTGTGTGTGTGTGTGTGTGTGT